GTTCAGGGGTCCACCAGAGTCACCCTGGGGTCAGGGACATGAGGGATATTACAGGCAAGAATTCATTCAAGTGATGGCTTTATCTCAGCCCCTTCAACCTGTTCTACAGCTCTTCAACCTGTTCGAAAATAGATCCTTCTGCTGTCATTTTGTCTCAAACAGGTTTGTGCAGAAGAAAGGTTTTTGAGGTTGACGTGCGGTACAGCTTACTGTCAGCCCAAGCCTGGATCTTTTGAACTGATGCCCTGGTTGATGCAGCATGAAACTTCAGAAGTGTTCTGTAAAATGTCTTATCTCACAGGAAGAGGTCAGGCCTGACTGTGGTGTCACTGAACTAGATCTTCACATGTTTTCTAAAGAGTTTCATGGTTAGTCTGTATCTATTCAATTATATGAAATCATAATTCATCAGTAATAAGTATAATTAAAAAAAGCAATCCGCCGTAACATAAACTGGTTTCCCGTGCTCCTGACTAGAAAAATAAATAACAAATCTGAACAGAACCCTCACCTGGCAACCAGACTCACTGCCACCACCAGCACAGACCATGGTGTCCTTCACGGTGGAGCCCCACCATCCACTGCTGGAGCAGGTCCTGTGGTCAACAACAGGCAGGTAGGCCTGCTTCAGCTGGGCGGAGAGCTGACCTCCAGCTGGAGACAGCAGAATAATTTATAGATCACAGCCAGTCCAGAGTTAAACAGTAAACACTGAGCAGATCCATTCATCATAGAGTGTGTCCTGGTGCCAGACGTACTTGCGGTGCGTCCCCATCCAGTGATGTAGCAGGGGTTGTTGTGGGGCAGGACTTGACCAGAAGGAGGGAGGGCACCAAGCTGGACGTAGTTGTTCAGGGTGACTTCAGAGGACAGGCGCAGAAGTGCGATGTCATAACTGAAACGCAGGTTGGTGGATGAGACCAGAGCAACCACAATGGTTGGTATATTGCTCTAATGCAGGCATGGGCAAACTAAGGCCCGGGGGCCGGATGCTGTCCGTTCAGCTTTTTAATCCGACCCGCCAAACTTTTCAAAATTAAATTATTTATTTAATTTTATCATTATACTTCTGCTTTTTTCATGCAATACCCACGTTTCCCCAATAGATGGTGTAGAAAATGCTAAAAGCAAGTTAGCATTTATGCATGATTTCATTTATCTTAGTTCACGCGAACTCTCCATCTATCGGCTCCGGCTTCCCTGTTCAATTTTAGGACAATTGTGGCGCACGAGTCAAAACGTTAGCCCACGCCTGCCCTAAGGTAACATTTCACCAGTACTTTTACAGTAATTCACTGAAGTTGTCTCTGCGTTAAAGCTACAGGATAGTGAGGCCGTGTACGTAAAGGTCAAATGTAAAATTTCTTCTTTTAAAGATTTAAAGTTTAGTTCTTTAATAACCGTTTAATTAACACAAGTGACAACAACACGTAACTCTGGTTAGTATTTTGGACACCATTACACAAAGTATATATGTTTATGTTTATACTTACCCTCCAGCAACACTAGCAGAGTTCCACCTGGGGTGGAGGTAGACCTGGCTCACACCCATGTACTGCTCTCTGCCCTCTTGGGAGTTCAGGTTGTGCTCTCCGACAACAACGCGCCAAGTCCTGCGGCTGTAGGGGATCAAGAACGTAAAGGTTTCTTTGTAAAAGTAAATAAATTAACCATAGTAAGCTCCGTCACAGCGGTGCTGCGTTTTAACATTTAATATTTAATATTTATGTCAACGTCTTATGCCGGAGACTCGTACCTGTCAACGCAGTGGGCCGCGGTCATGACCCATCCCCTCCTGATCAGGGTTCCTCCACAGGTGTGGTAGTAGTTGTTGCCACTACCCATGTACTGAAGAGAAATCTGATTGAGGGTGAAAGAGGGGAGAGGGGGGAGGGCAGTAGAGATCATTAGCCATTTAACGACTCCCTGTCTCTGCCTGTTTAACCTCACAGAGAATCCTTTAATGAAGCAGGGAAATATTCTGACACTGTTGTTTTCTTTTCATAACACCACGCTTAAGCAGTTTTCTTAAACTATACATACATTCTTCCTATAAGCCCAAAAATATTCTGACAGTCATTTCACCTGCACAGTGCCTAGAGTATTTGAAATCATGCCGTGACTCCACTCCATTCTACCATAAGATGATGAGAATTATTTCCTCTTCCCTCAAGTCAAGTGTATTAACTGTACCTGCCAGGGCCAGGAGTTCGCTCTCGCCACTTCACCTCCCACTACTCTCTCTTCAGCGCTGTCATCCTCCAAGTACCTGGGCTGAGGCTCCAGCTCAGCCAGCACTGAGCAAAGAACAGAACATATAACAGTCAGACATAATGTTTTTGGACAAAATGTGCTGAAGTATCAGGTGAGGAAAAACGGTTTCGTTTTTAACCTAAGGCTGCGAGAGAAGTGAAGAGAAGGAATCTGAGCATGTCTGTAGTCTCCGAAAACTGTCTGCACTGGACACTGGAGTCGACTCTACTTATACTTTACGTGGTCAGGCATGTGTATTTTGTCTGTGTGTGTGTGTGTGTGTCCCAGCTGACATGCACCTGTGTCTGTCTCACTGTTATCACCATGTTTCCTGATTAGCTGATGCAGCAAAGGAACCATTTATTTTTAGTCCCAGGTGAATGTTTGGCCTTGTCCTTTAATGCACTTTCAAATGATTTTTACTCTGCAAAGTTTCCTCGGTGATACGGTCTCATCGAAACCAGACCCTGGCATGAACTATACTCAGGTTGTTTCATCATCATCTTATAAAATTGTAATTAAACAAAAGGCTTAACAATCTGTACACCATATGTCCACACCGTCCTTGAACCCTCATGCTGCGTTTGAGGACGTTTGCTCCATGTTAAAAGATACAGGAAGTCCCGGTAGAGCTCACACACCAGTATATT